TGTAAGATGAAATGAAGGCATTTTTCTCAGCTTCTGTGCAAAAGTAGGAGTTGGAGCTCTGCAGTGTATTATCTGCTGGCTTTTGTATTCAGCATGAGTAATAAGGCTTGGACAGCATACATTAGCACTCCGGTAACATAGCATTTGATTGCTGGCAGTTGCTTGACTTGTATGTTTTGGCTAAATCTTCACATTAAAAGATTTGCAGTGGTTTTTGTCTGTTTCCCTTATCAATCAGCGGATGAGTTGCAGAGCCGAGCACATCCAGGACTGTTCAGCCAGTCAAAGCTGGCATAATCAAGCTCGTACTTGGAGGTGCAAAAAGCTGTGCTCTGCAAAGGCTAGACAGTCATTTGTCTGAAGCTGACCTGTTAATCTCCTGTGCTCTCTGCTACATGATGCATGCAGCCACTTCAGCTTCAGAGTACAAGTGTCCGCTCTGTGTGGGAGAGGGATTGTTAGAACAGCGAGTTAAAAGCTTGATGCTTTTTTCTTGCTGTTTCAACAATTCAGGAAAAACACAGCCAGAACTTGCCAAAGGCAGAAAATAACAGCAAAGGCTTTTCTTGGGAGTTTTCTTTAAGTAAACTGGGTGGGTGAAACTCTTAAAAAGCTATCCTAGGGAGTAGCTGCAGACAAGTGGGGCAGAGGGGGAGTTTCATCCTTTGCAGCATGTGTCCACAAACCTCTGGGCTGGGTAAGGAACAGCTATTGAACGAGAGAAATCTGGTCTGCTCTGTGCTTGTCCCCTTCATGCCTGCTCTGTTGGATTGGCCATAATGGTGGGATTCCTTCTGGGCTTCCTTTCAGAGAGCTGACCCCGCAAGCAGGTCTCTCAAACTCATGGAGGGGGTTAGTGGTTTAATAGCTATGGCTAGTGCTAATTGTCTGGAGCAAGGAAGCAGCCTGGTTCAGAAGGATCTAACGGGGTCTGCAAGACTGCTTCAGCTGGTGACCGGTTGGGGCTTTATTGTCCCTCACTTGGTGACTTGCCCACTTGAGTAGGTGGTTCTTATTCTTATGGATGGCTTTGGGAGATGCCTGGTTTTGTCACCTGTTTTTTAGCCGAGCAGTCCTTTGTGCTTCTTTCCAGCCTACCAGGTGTTAAAAGAAAACTTATTTTTTTTTTTCCCATGCTAAAGATAAAGCTCCTTGGCTGTCTGCAGTTGTGCTGCCTTTGCAGCTAAGGGAACCGCATCTCTTGGGATTGGTTGTTAGGTGCAAGGGAAGTAGCTGGTGTTGTCTCTTGTCCTCTGTGTGTGCTTCCTACTTGAAGCAAGGATTAGTTTTTCACCGAGAGCCTGGCCAGTGCTTGGCAGCCGTCCTCCAGGGCTTCAGCTTGGAGAATGCCAGGGGAAATCCGGGGACGCGGAGGTCCTGCGGCATGAAATACTGAGTTATTTTACAGCTTCAAGCTAGTACTGAAAAAGCTTAAGCTTACTACAGAGGAGGTGCTCGGTCAGAGCAGCGTGCTCCAGCTTGCTTTTATCACTTGGCTAAGGCTGTAGAGCAGACTGACTACAAAAATAGCCAGATGGGAGGATAAATGTATAGCCCAGTGCAGCCTGAGTAACAAACTGCTCTGCAGCCAGCTACCTGCAAAAGCCTGGATCACTCTTGCATTAAGTGGAAGTGCTACAGCAAGGTGTCAAACTCTGCTTAAGAAGATAGCCAGGTCACTGCTGTTCATACACTGTCTACTCCAGCCTCTTCCTAAAGCTAAGTAGATCTTAAGCTCTGACTAATCTTCTTTGAAGTGTGAGCTTGTGCCATTATCCTGCAGCAAGCTCCATGCCACTGTCTCCAGCTTTCATTGAATGTAGAGGTCTAGGTTAGCTTAGATCTAGCTGTTGTGGATTTCCTAAGCAAATAACTATCCAACATTATTTTCACCCTTTAAAAATGTAGGACTATGGCCAACAGTGCTCTTTGGACTGGGGGAAACAGTATGAGGCTGTCCAAAGTACCCTGGGAACTCCTGTATCAGGCTAGTAGTGACTGCTGATGTGATCTACTAGCCAGAAGGAGGAAAGGCTCTTAATTAAAACTTAAAAAGATTAAGTATTAATGGATTTCCAAAAGCCAGCCTTTTAGGGAGTGGCTTTCCCTCTTATTCACTGACACTCATGATCCTAGTAAGGATGGAGTAAGCTTGTTGAGAGAGATTAATGTTTCAGTGTTTCTGCTAGCCACCTCCTGAATGTCTTAGGCTACTTGAGAACCTAGAGCTAAAACCTACAAATGTATCTACATGTGTGTATGTACCTCTGCAGAATGTGTATGACTGCAAGAGAAATGCTCTGGCTCTCTTTCAAGTGCAGCTGGAGTTCTGTTTGTTTAACTACTGCTAAAACTGCTTGTGTAGCCTAAAAAGACTTCTGACCTCTAGAGAAACTGTATTTAGATCCAAACTGTTCTTTATTAAAAAAAAAAACCCAAACCTCTTGATGTTTCAGTGTGTCTGATCTTAACAGGAACTTGCTAAAGGAGTGTGAGGTGAATGTAATTTATATTCATCAGCATGTCAAGGCAGATGCATATCATTGGGCACTAGCAATTTAACTTGCATAATATACTTAGTGCTTTTTAATTATAAAAGTGCATAAAGGATTAGCCTGGAAGAATAGCTGACTACAGTCAGTTTTCAACTGGTTGGGTTTTTTTTGGCAGGGAGGGTAGAGGAGATGCTAAAAATGAAGTGGAAGTTATCTAAGCTGTTGCTGGCAAACAGCTTCTTGGTGGCTCCTGTTTGTCCCTGAGCACCTGGTGCATGTGTGTGGCCTGCAACGGAGTTATTCCAGCAGCTCAAACTGCTGAGGGCCAGGGCTGCAGGGAGAGTGGAAAAAGTGACTCAGTGTGCCCCGAAGGCTCACCCAGCTAATGGAGCCTGCAGTAGTTGACTCTGACCTGAGTCTCTAAGCTGGTAATGCTGAGTGGTCTTCTGCGCTACAGACAGATTGTGAGGGTCTTCAGCTAGAGAAGTTACTACAACTACCCGAAAGGAGGTTGTAGTGAGGTGGGGGTTGGTCTCTTCTCCCAAGTAACAAGTGATAGGACAAGAAGAAATGGGCTCAGGTTGTGCCAGGGGAGGTTTAGGTTGGATATTAGGAAAAATTTCTTCATGGAGAGAGTGTTCAGGCATTGGAACAGGCTGCCCAGGGAAGCGGTGCAACCACAGTCCCTGGAAGTATTCAAAAACTGTGTGGATGTGGTGCTTAGGGACACGGTTTAGAGGTGGACCAGGCAGTTAGGTTAACAGGTTGGACTTGATCTCAGGGGTCCTCTCCAGCCTTAATGATTCTATGATTCTAAGTCTCTCTCCTGTGTGGAAGAAGAGGTGTGTTTTACAATGGAAATGCAATGTGTGTGACCAGACAGGTATAATAAAGCTTTCTGTCTTGATTGTGTTTAGCTGACTGGGCACATACAATAATGCTTTCCAAAAGGAGACAATGTACATTAGTGGCAAGACACAGAGGGCCTTTGCGTTAGATGGACCAGCACAAATGTCATGCTACTGAGATCCCTCTCCCCACAACAGCAGTTACCTCTTGCACAGCATCACGAGTGCCTGAGAAGACATGGAGGAGTGATGCACCCTTCTGTAACAAAGCAGTGCTAGGTGGCTTGCTGCTGCACTCTGTCTGTACAGATGCAAGTGATACTTATCTGTGTGCTGTTTGGGTGGGGAAATGAGAAGTCTAGCAAGCTGGGGGACTCATGTTGGTGCCTGTGAGCAAGACTGCAGAGGGTGATCTTTGCTCTTCTTTGGAAGACTGAGGGGTGGTTCTGACACCCCCAGCCTCTTTCCTTACTAATATTTGTTAGTCCTGCAGCTTGAAGATGAAAGCAGTTCACTTGTGAAACTGAGAACATACCAGCCAAAGCAAGTGAAGCTGTTGATGGTTGGAGGCTTCTAGCAGTACGGCTTGACTGTGCCACTGACAAGCTGCCTCCTGGAACTGGGAGGAGGATGACCTTACCAGATCTGCTGTGTGATGGAGGGCTGTTTGCTGTGTGCATGAGACTTGTGTGACCAGCTGTCCTGCACGTGATGAGCGGGGCCTTGGATGGGATGGTCTTCTGCTGTTGAGTGATGGTGCAGGAAGCCCAGGACTGAGAGCCACCGGCCTGGAGGGAGGTGGCTGGGAGCAGGCAGTGACTGATGCTGCAAGGTCCTCCATCTGTCCGGCAGCCTGAGCTGTGTTACTGGAGGTAACAGAGCTTGCCAAGAGCAGGCTGTCAGCTGGCTGGATCACTGCTGGGCTACTGGTTCAGCGCTCTTTTGGAAACTCTTGAAGCACACAATGGTTATACTCGTGAAACTTTCTGGAAGTGCCTCCGTGGTGCAGTGCAGCATAAACACTGTGCTAATGCAGCAGTGCTGCTGCCTGGGCTGTAGCCTTTCTCTGTGGGGTCAAGGAGCTCATACAGGACATGACATTAATGCAGCCCTAAAGCCTCCTGTTCAGGTTCTGGTCCTGTGTTGTGCCCTATAGACCCGCCTTGTCCTCTGTGCAGGTTCCTTGGTTTCCTTCTGTGTCAATGCACAGAACAGAGTTTGCTGTAACAGGCCTGAGACTTAAGTCTGGCCCTGATAAGCATCAGTCCTGGGCTTGGTAAAGTACAAACAGGTTGATCCTAATCATATGCTTGCAAGTCTGATGCCTGTTGGGTAGAGCGTAGCACTCTACCACTGGGCTGAGAGCTTGGCAAGGTCTGTCTTGGGCTTCAGATCAAGATTTGGTTTTATCTGGCATGAGCCTTCAGATTGGGTAGGTAAAATAGATGGAGGGATCCATTGCTTGGGATGTGCAGGAGGGGTCTGCTCAGAACTGGCCATAGACTGGCATGCTTGGAACTTGTCAACCAGGTATTTAAGGCTCTGGGCCAATAGGTGGTTGTGGGTATGTGTAATCTTGGTTCCTTTTTCCCCTTTCTAGGTCTTGCACTCTGGACTTGTCAGCCTTGCAAGCTTCTGGGCACATCTCCTCTCAGCTATGAGTAGATCAATAGGTTTTATTATCTGCGTGGTCACCTGCAGCATCCTGCTCTTGTCCTCCAGTCCACCATGCCTTGCATCTCAGCCACTGGAGGAGAGGGATGTGACAAAGGTCCAGCATGGCCCCTGGGCAGGGAATGGTGTAGAAGATGAAAGGACAAGCATGCTGAACTTGAAAAATAACCTGGGCCCTTCTGAGCAGACTGTCTCTGAAGAGCCATGTGGAGTGTCAGCAAAGCCATCTGAGATGCCCTTAAATGAAGCCTTCACTGCAGAAGGAGAAACGCTGCCTGTAAGCCCAAGCCATGTCATCCCAGGCAGCCAGGGCCTGGGTGCTCCCACCTCTGCTGTGGCAGTGGCTGCCATAGATGAGGAGGAGCTTGGTCCCACAAAGTCGGAGCTGGATGAGGATGATGCATTCAAGGCCATGCTGACCACAGCTGTGACCACGCTGAGCCCTGCTGTCCAGGAGGAGTCTGTCAGTGGCCCCATTAGTGAGACCACCACGGAGGGCGGTGTTGAAGTAGAGCATAGCTCTGCCAGCCTTTCAGCAAACCCCCTTTCTGGGGCAGCTGTGGAGGAAGAGGAGGTAGAGAGTAACTTGCACCCCTCAGCTGTGCCCCAGCCCGCACTGTACCCCAGCTCCCCCAGCTGGGAAACAGCAAGCGACCACCCTGTTGTCCTGACTCCCCAGGCTCATGTCATGACCTCTGAGGTAGGAATGCCAAGAGCCCGCACAGGGAGCCCTCTGAAGTCCCTGGCTGTGCAAACATCTGTGGCTGCAAAACGTCCCCTTGTGGTGACGGAGGCCTCCCTCCGCCTGGAAGCAGGGACGGGTGTCAGGCAAGGAGAGCTGCCTGCCATGGCTGGCATCGTCACTGTCCACCCTATGGACACTGTGCCACCTGACTGGGATGACACAAAACTGGGGGATGTAAGTCAAGGGGGAAGCATGTCTCGTGAGGAGGTGACAGAGGACCTGGGGGCAACAGAACCATCCCAGACCCCACAGGGAGGTGTGGGGGAGGAAGAGGATGCAACAAGAGTGCTGCCATCCCCAGCATCCCCTCCACCAACTCCTGAGCTTGCCAAGGAGACCAACTGCACGGTGCCGGTGCAAGGGGAGGAGTTGCCGGCAGCTTCCACAGGGAGTGGTGATGCTCTCCACACTGCAAACCTGACTGCTGTAGACACAGCTGATCTCAACTCGCTGGAAAACACAAATGCAGTCACAGCAGAGGAGGGGAAAAGTATCCTGCCATCACAGCCGGAGGCTGCTGTGGTGACAGATACACAGTCTGATCTCTCTCCTACTCTGGAAAGCTCATGGAAAGGTAAAAGTTGCCTGTTACAGACACTTGCCTGTAAGTGTAGGTTAGGAGGGATGCTCTTGGGAATCTGTGCTTCCTTTCAGGGAGATAAAGTAGAGAAAGGTGTGATCTTGATACCTGCAATAGAGGTAGGATACCTCTTCCCCACCCCAGGAAAGGCTATGGACCTTTGTGGAGGGGTAACAGGTAATTAACATCCATAAAGTACTGCCTAGCCTTGGCTGTTTCTATACACAATGTCCCTGTGTACAGGTAGGCAGAGTCTGTTGGGTGTACTCTGTCCTGACTGTTCTGTCAGGCAGCTGTATTGAGCTGCCTCTTCTGCTCCTCAAGCTGAGAGTGTGGCTGTGGTAGCAAACAGGAAAGCTGAGGCTGGAAAGGCTGTGGTGGCTGAGCCTGGGGTTGAAGGGTGTACTTGAGTATGGAGGTCTCCGTAGAGGACTGGAGTCTCATCAGTAGATAGTTGGTGTTAGTTAAAGAAACTTGCTTTGTTAATGCTCTGCATGCGTGGTGTGCTATGCTACCAAAGCAGGGGCTTCAGTTTTGGTGTTTGTGTAGTGGTTGAGGGGGACAGCTGTAGTCTTGTTGCAGGCATCTTGCCTTGACCAGAGATGCATAAATCTGCTTTGAATAACCCTCTGGTATGCCTCTCCTGTGACTAGGGAGGGAGCCCAGCCTCTGACCCACTGGTTAACACTTTATTTCAAGGAGGGTAATATTCCCCAAGTGTCTCTTTGATATGGCAAGTGCAAGGACCAAAGGTGGTCCTTGCATTAGCTCATGCTGAAGCCCTGCAAAGTAGGAGGGGAATAATTCCTGGGGGGGGTAAATTAACATCTGGGATCACCTGGCTCTCAACTGCTAGTTATGGGCACTCACAGTCAGTGCAGAGGCAATGGATGTCTATAAATGCTTCCTAAATCCAGGAATAGGGGAGCTGTCCCATAGCCTGTGAGTAACTGACATCTTCCATGACTTTACAAGGATGCTCGGATCAAAAGATCTGTCCAGAGCTCTGTGGTGTCCTTTGTAACAAAGCTCCTGGTTTTGCTTCCCCACCCTCGAGTGAAGCTGTGGCCAGGCTCTGACTGTCCAGTGTCTGTGCCAGCTCTGTTACCAGCAGGCAGAAGTCTTCCTCCTAGACAGCCTGCCCCAGGCTATGGTGTTACCCTGTACTGTACTTACCTGAAGAGATGGCACCTTCAGCCCACTGACTATTTTTCTGCTCAGTATTTAAAAAAACTGGCAGAAATGTGGGGGGGGAGTTCTGGTCAGGTGTTAGACAATGAGGCTGATGAGGAATGTGAGCTGGGGTTTAGGACTTTGTTTTAATTGCTGGGCATCTTTAATCTTCCCCCTTAGGCTGCAGGGGCAAAAGGATGACCTCCCCTCACTGCATCCAAAAGATCTAGCTTTTGCTGTAAAAGAAGGAAAGCTAATTGCATGCTGGTGCTGAAATCTGACTGATTAATTTCTAGATTAATTTATAAGCACTTGACTTGTCAGCAGGTTCCCTCTCTGCTATTTCCCAGATGTTGGGGAAACAACACTACTAGTAAGACTTGTGCAACAAAAATAAAGCCTTCTACAAAGCTGAAGTCTCATAGCTGTGAGAGCCAGTCACTAAAAGTATTGCTCTGGCAGCATCACTTGCTTTGAATGGTATTTCATGCCACAGGCTTGCAGTGCTGCGCTCCCATGGCATTGCTCCCCTGTGGGTCCACTTGTCCCTAAGGGACAATTAAGAAAATGAGGAGTGATTCTGCTGCTTTCACTCCTGTTATGCATGTTCTCACATCTGTCTTTTTGCTGCTCTGCCCTGATGATACTTGGCTGGACCTGCTGCTTGCACTGTGGCTCTGGAAATGCTAATGCATGGAGTTACATTGCTTCAAACATCTGCTCTGTTGCTGTCAGCTGTCCTGTGAGTTGGTACTGACATGTGTTCTTGCTGTAGGTGCTACTCAGGAGGTGACAACAGTTGCCCAGGAGGCTGATGCTGCTCTGTCAGTTGTGACACTGGCACCTGATGCTACTCAGGGAACAGGAGCTCCAAGCCTTCTGCAGGAAAACAGTGGGGAGGACACTCGGATGCCAACTGCTCCTAGTGCCACCCAGATGCTGGTGGCCACTGGTACTTCCTCTATGGCAAACACTCCAGATGCAGAAGGTAGGGTTCTGCCTCAAGAACTTTAGGTTTGTTTCCACACAAGATGAGATGGTACATCTGAAACCAACATCAATGCTTGGACACTGAAGTCTCAACACACAGCATCCATATTCTAAGTGACTTTTTTCTAGCCTTCTGCAGCTGCCTCTAGCCCTAGGCTGCCACTGCTTTCTGCCCATGCTACCAGGTACACCATGTTGAAATATGCCAGCATATGTTTTTTGCCCCAAATAATAGTGGAATAGATACTTTAAAAAAAAAAACAACAAAAAACAAAACAAACCACCCCAAACCAACCCCCAACATCCATCCTTGCTAGCAAATTGACATTTGGCTGTAGATGTTTAAGCCAGTTCATATTTATGGAGGGAGAGCTCTTACTGCTGGAGCCAAAGGCAGTCACAGATTGTGGATGCTCAATTTCTTTGGGGTAACATGGGAGCAGTGTAAGGTGGGGGAGGATTGTGTGGTGTGTGTGACCCTCTTGCAAGGGTCTAGCAATCCCTTGCATGTGGAAGCCTGCACTGATATTTGCTTCCATTGAGGAATGATGAGTTCTTGCTTCTTGGGTTGACGTAGCTCAGGCAGAAATGCTTTAAGCAGTCATGTTCATCCAGCCGCTGCCTACTGGCTCAATGTCACCTTGGCAGGTACATGTAGGAGCCTGTTGTCTTGTGTAGCAAGGGTTCCCTTAGTACAAAGCTGACTGACGTGGAGTGTATTTCTGTAGTAGTAGGTTCCACTGTAATGAAATTGCTGCTGGGCAGCTTTTCTGGTTTTATATTGCAGGGCATCCAATGCAAATAGTTTTTTTCTTTTTATCTCTTAAATTAAGGTCCCTTTGTAGGGGAGAGAAGGGTCTTCTGGCAGTTTCCACTAATTAATTTGCTTCTGGGATTTAATTATAAATTCAACTAATTTTATCTTTGCAATAAACGATTAGATCTGTCACCCAGTTCAGATGTCAACTGGTGTCTCAGTGCTCTGATCTTGCTGTGGGGTGGTGACTAGCAGTCCTCTAAGCAATGGAAGTAAAACCTGGCTGAGTTCTCATTAAGGGGAACCTCCTGTGCTGGCTGTCCCAGAGGAGAAGCTTTCATTCCATGTCTTGAAAGAGGCGAGAGTTTAATAACTTCTTCTACTCTGAGTTAAGTTTTCATTAAGGAGTTTGTTCTTAAATGGTGGTGTTTTTAATATTGTTGTGCCAAACTGCTGCTGCTTCCTCTCTTCTGTAGATCTCTCGGATGTGGTCCTGGTCACCAGTGAAAAGGCTGTTCCAGCTCCTGGTGGGTTGTCTGCTACCCAGTCTGAACAGACAGAGGAGCCATCCAGCAGAACTGTGGTCCTGGTAACTCCAGCATCAATGGCATCTTCTGTCAGGAGGACAGCTCTTCCATCTGTGAGGAAGATCAGTACAGCTGTGACCTATGGGCTGGACCGCCTGGAGTCAGAAGGTACCACTGATCCCAAGGCTAAGAGGCGGGCAGGCTCATGTGGAGTGGCATGATTGCCTTGATGCTGAGCTCCCCAATTTGTCTGTTTGGCATGCAGCTATGTGCATATGTTGTTGTTGTTGCTAATAAAGTTGTTGAACACCCTGTCCCCTTCCAGGAGGTGCAGGAAGCAAGCAGTGAACAGTGTCATGGAGGATGCTTGAAAGTCAAGTGGCTGTGGTGGGAGGGATGGGGTTTTTCCCTTGGAGAGGGAGCAGCAGTGGTGTTGCTGTTGCAGTAGAGCTGGGCTCTGTGCACCTGTAACTGCTGGTGTGTGCATTGATTGCAGAGCCTCTGTACCAGGTAATGCTCATGGGAACACATTCAGACAGCTGGAGAGCCCTGGCCACCCTACTGCTGAAATCATCACCCCATGCAATGCAGGGGGATGTTCAGCATGAGATGGCTACCTCAGTGTCCAGCTGGCTGAAACCTTGCCAGGATAAGTGGTGCCCTATTTACATTCCCTATGTGACACTGCTGGGAGAGGCAAAGGATGCATCCCCTTTGAGATGGTCTTCCAACTCAATGCTACCTGCTAAGCTGTTCTCTCATCACTGACTCCTCCAGCCTTGCCTCACCCCCTGGGCTCCCTTTTCTTAAACTGCTCTTGCCCACTATCAGTCTTGGGAGTCTCTGCTCCCTGACTATATTCAGACAATTGAAACCCAGTGATGCAAATTCTGCCTGGGCAGACACCCATCAAGAGAGGTTTAGGTGAGGGATCCTACCCTGGAGTTGGTCTGGAGCTCGGATCTGAGATTTCTTCAGCTCATCCATGATTTTCCTGCAGCAAGTTGTTTCACTTCTGCTTCTTGCTCTTTCTCCTGCTTTAACTCTTCCCTGCTTGCTCATCCATCCAGTTTTGTACTCCAGTGTCTGGACTGACACCACCTGGCAGGGATTAATCTTTCTGCCTGTTTTGCCCCCTTCCTTTATCTTGACCTTCTCTTGCCTTTGCATTTTACTGCAAAGGTTGGCAGCCCTCCAAGGGTGGCATGCCAGATGGTATTTTTCTTCTGATTAGAGGTGGGGTGCCATAGACAACAGCTAATCAGCATCTTTTCTCTGCATGAAGCAATAACTCTCACTCCTGTTAAGCTTAGAGGGCAGCAGAAGCTGGGAGCCCTCCCCACTGCATGTGTGAGGTGCTGCAGCTCCTGCCCTCTGTCAGGCTTGCTGCTGGCTTTGAAGCCTGCCATGAGCTCTCTGGGCTTCCAGCTACAGCCCTTGTCCCTTGCCAGGATGAATCTTGCATGTATTTGGCAATGCAAGGATGCAGTGCTGATGATGGGAGAGTGGCAGCAGGGGAAGAGGGGCATGTGTGGGGGGAGAACCTGATCTTTCAGGCTGGGAAAAAGGTCTCTGCTTAGCAAGAGCAGTATGATTCAGGAGGCTAAACTGTTTCTGAGCCCTCTGGGATCTCCTTTACAAGCCTGTTTTTTCTGCACAGGAGGACAAGAGATTTCCGCTTCAACTGAGCGTTGGTCTCTCCCTATTTAATGAGACTTTCTGCATAAGCATTTAAAAAAACATCTTTCTGCTCTGACATAGGACTGCTGCAACTTTCTTGGGTTCCTACTGAGCTCTCTTATGCAACTACAGGCCTGCTTTCTCTACTCTTGAATAAGTTCTGAGCTCCTCTAAGGGCAAATGTGGGCTGTAGCTAGGACCAGCTTTCCTAAATGATGATGACTCAACTAGAAGGCTGTGGGTTTCTTGGCTCTGGTGTATGGCTCTGCAGGTGCCTGTCAACCAAGGGACATGGTGCTCTCTGGTATGCTGTGTGGTTTTGACAACTGGCACAGCTTTTGTGATCTAAATCTCTTCTGATCATCCTAGACCTTTGTGCAGTGAGACAGACTTTTTCCTGGTGTTAGGGATCACCAATCCACACCTTGTAAAATGGGACAGATACCGCCTGGGGATGCTACTGCCCCAGTTAAGCACAAAGGAGGCTTTTGACCTGTGACTCTGCTTTCTAGTATCTTTTTCTCCCTGTAATGGCAATTAAGGGTGGAAGCTTGGTTTCTGTTGCCCCAAAGCTACAGTTCCTAGTGCTTACCCTCAGAATATCTAGAGGGTGCCAATACAAGATGTTTAGGAGTGCTTTCCTATAAAGCTACACTGAGCCCAGGGTGCTCAAGCTCTTGGGGGATGCAAGGTCAGACATCACTGCTGTTGTGGGCATAGGCTGGAGTCCCTCTTGAGGGATCCTGGCCCTCTGTGGGGAGGCTGTGCCTTGCTCACCAGTGGAAGAAGTGAGAGGAGCTGAGTGAGCTCTGCTGGTCTCCAGTGCCTTCGGGGGGGGGTCTTGCTGACTTGTCTCATTGAGGGCCTGGCTCATCATTAAATATAAACCCCTGCTGTTCAGCTAGTTCTGTTTCTTGGGGACCATCTGTGCCAAACTGCCTGCAGTTAATTGCATCAGTATATTCACCTACCTGGCTTGGATGCAAAACTGTTTTTAAAATCAAATTGCACAGAGAAACATGAGGTGCTTTGAATATGTCTCCAGATGAGCTTATCCTCTGTAGAGGACTCTGGAGAGATTAGCTGGGTAACAAATATCCTCCTACCTTGACTCTGTGGTGACACTGGTTCTACTTGCCCTTCCTAGCCAGAGAAATCCTATAAAGGGATTATAGGATATGGGGATGGGACACAGCAGAGGATGAGGCTTACTTGTCTGGGAGACTTAATTACATATTTTGGTCTTGTGCCCAGAATTTGGGTGTCTCTCTACCAAGCTAAACACTGCAGCTTTCTCTGTAGGGCTTCTAGGGTCCAAAGGGAGAGAATTTAGTTCAGCTTGCCTACTCAAGACCACTGTGTAAGCCTCCCAACACATCTTGAGAAGTGGTTCTTTTAAAAGAAACTGTTCCTTTTGGGCTAGATTCCTTTGCCATAACATCTGCCATGGTAGGTATGGGCAGAGATGCCTGCGCTCCTTAAGGATGGCAGCATTTGGCAGGTATAACTGCCCAATGTGGCAGGTAGCCTGCCACATTCCCTCTTCTGCAAGATCCTTGCAGTGTTTAGTTGAAACCTGGTGGTCAGAGCACAACAGCAGCTGGCTCAAGCAGCTGCTGTCACTGTTCCATATGGGACATGATCCAGGGATGCACTGAGGCTAAGCAGAAGGTAGGTTAGTGCCCTTCCCATGAGGACCTTGAAGGTCATGTCATCCCTATACGCTAATCCTAAACCAGCAGTTAGTACAGAACTACCTGCTGCCAAGAGGGATGCCTCACCCATCACAGCCTGGGTCACAGGCCACTTCAGCATGAACAGCTTACAGCACCATTGCCTGTGGCTGCTGGTGAGGGTGGGTCTGTATCTGTCAATGCAGACTCGAGGTTTGTGGGTTTTTTTGTGTGCCACCACTGTGCCTGGACAGCAAAAAATTCAGCTGAAATAGCTGGAGATGGTGATTGTGGAGCAAGGCACATGGGACAGAGAATGGGAAGATGTCTCAGCATTCATCAAACCATGCTAAGATTAACCTCCTCTGACATATAGGGCAGATGTCTCTGTGTTAACCTTCCAAGGCTGCCCAGATGCAGCAGTAGTAGCTGCCTGTTGATGTTCCTGTGTTTCAGCCCACAAGACTGTAGAAGCCCTTCAGCTGTTGCACCCCACATACTGCCCTTGCTGCATCCAAACTCCTCAGGAAAACAGTTTAAGCTCAGTGCTACTGGCTCCCTGCAGCTGAGTGATCTCCAGCTTGACCCACTTTGGCATTAACTTGGGATTTAGAGACTGTTTACTTGTGGTGGTGATTTTTGGGATGGAGGGAAGAACAAATACTCTGCATTGTGCTACTCTCCTGTAAGGTTTTTGAAGATAAAACACCAACAAATATCCTTTTTTAGTTATTTGCCTATCCTATTTCTTTGTGTGCACCCCTTCCACCCAGCCCACCCCCCAAAAAAAAAGAAATCCCAAACTGCTCTGCAACAGTGTGGAAGCCTTAAGGCTGGCTCCTGTTCAGTCATCTAGGCTTGCTTCAAGCTGTTGTTGCTGGGGGTGAGCTGTTTACACAGTTCAGCTGTTGTGTAGGCTGCTGGATGTGGAGGGTGCTTAGAGCTCTATAAAAGCAGGAGATGCTCCATGTGTTGGTGTCAGGAACAGTCAATAGTTCTGTGAAAATGGGCAGCTTAAACTCAGCTGCTCTAGAGGGAGGAGATCTGAGCCATGTAGCTCTTGAATGTGAAGTGTTCCTCATTAATCAGGCTGGCTCTCAACCTGCAGCTGGCAGAATCCTGGTCTTTAGGGTGGGGGGGTTGGAAAGGCAGTGTCAGATGTCTGCTGCCTAGGACAGCACAGTGCGGTTCCCAGTGCTCTGCCTTGGTTAGCTGGTGCGTCCCCACCTAATGCAGCATTTGTCTATGGGGAAGCCCCTTGATGATGCTGAAACACGGCTGGCACTGACCTTGGGATCAGCAAATCCAGTGTCCTCCCCTCCGAACCTTGGCTGTGGGCTTTGCTGTGTTTGCTCTGCCTACTGCGCTAAAGGCTGTTCCAGAGCAGTGCCAGTATGAAGCTTTAGGCTTTCTGACCTTAACATATTAGCGATATTTTAATACCTACTTGTGTCTGGGTTTAAACAGTTCCTGTTGTTCTCTGCTGACCTGCATAGTCAAGTTTACACTTCCAAGGAAACCGTAACTTAACTGATTTCAGCGAGAAGAGCTCTCCTAGTCCTCTCCTCCATGCTCTGCCTGCTTCCCCTGCATCTTGTACGCAGTCATCTAAGCTGCACGTCATTCTTCAGAAGTGAAGGCAGTGGTTGCCTTTTTTCAGAAAATACTTCAGAACTTGTAGCTGTTTACATAATTTTATAAAAGACCCTTCAAATTCTTCTTACATTTTTCTTCTGAGCTGTGTCACAGTACAAGGAGCCTTCTTTTTTTGGATGTGAAGACTCTTTTTGCTGGAAATCAAGTTTCTGACTGGGA